TCGAACTCGTCCTAGACGGTTTGTCTGATTCTCACCAAAATTGGCTCAGATCATCTTCAGACCATGCTGGCAAAAAGTTATGGAATTCAAGTGGATTCTTCAAACCGTTCTCGAATAACGTGCAAACGAATTCGACGAAAAGCACGTAAAAATGGATGTGAGGCTATATCTCCGCACCGGTTTGGCGTATTGAGACCAAACTTGGTGTGTGACAAGCATGGCCTGAGACTACCTGCAGTGTTTCGGCGCAGTGCCCCCTAGTGGTCAGGAAATATGAAAAATGCATATTTTTGCTTATAACTTCTGAATGGTATGGCCACAAAACTGGTCTCTTTAGATTCGGTGGAGCATGCCGAGTCGAACCATACCAAATTTCCCCATGTCAGCCATTTTGGGCGTCGGTCATTTTGAATTTTGTCACAAAATGCTATAATTTATGAACGCATTGACGTATCGTTACGAAACTCTGTATGCATCTTCGACACTATGCCCTGATGGCACTCAAAAATTTTGGGTTCAGCGCCATCTTGTGGTCAAAAGTTATAATGAAATTTCTAAAAATGCTAATAACTTTTGCATACATTATCACATTGTAATGAGACTGATGTTGTTAGATTCCTTGTATCATGCCGAGAACATCGATACCAATTTTGCCTTAATTGGCTAAACTTCCTGTCCGCCATTTTGATTCATGTTGAAAACCTACTTTTTCAAACTCCTCCTAGACCGTTAGTCCAATTTTCACCAAATTTGACTCGGATCATCTTCAGACCAAGCTGGCAAAAAGTTATGGATTTCGTGTCGATATACGAAACGGTTTTTGTTTAGCGCATCAACGAATATGCTGGAAAGATGCCAAAATGCATCTGAGGCTGTATCTCTGCAAAGCTTTGACATATTTGCACCAAACTTTGTATGTGCCATTGTCACCTCACACTGACCACGCCACATCCATTTGGTAACAGCACCACCTATTGGTCAAGAGTAATAAACTATTCATTAATTATTAATTATGAAATTTCCAAAAATGCTAATAACTTTTGATTGCATTAACCTATTGTAATGAAACTAATCTCAAAATGTTCCTTGGGTCATGCCGACAACATGCATATCAATTACGCCATAGTAAGCCGAACTTCCTGTCGGCCATTTTGATTTATGCTGTAAACCTACTTTTTCGACCTCCTCCTCAAGCCTTTGTCCGATTTTCACCAAAATCAAGTCAAATCATCTTCAGACTATGCTGACAAAAATTTATGGATTTCGTGTCAATAGACGAAACTGTTTTCATACAGCGCTGCTACAAATTTTAGGCATGGTGCCATAATGACTCTGAGGCTATATCTCTTCAAAGCTTTGACATAATGACAACAAACTTTGTGTGTGCCATTGTCACCTGACAGAGAACACTCCAAAATGATTTGATTACAGCACCACCTGTTGGTCAAAAGTGATAAGCCATTTAATCATATTACTAGTGGTTGTATTTATGATTTTTCAGCCATTTCAATTACAATCATCCTAAAATTGCTTTTATTACTCGTTGTATTTGGTCTGATGCTCCATGCCATGCTTAGCTCCTCAATTTGCCTCTGGAGTGCTTGGCCCCGCAATTGCTGCTTGCAGCTATATTTTTGTTTGTTTTTGTTAAATTTTCACTGCCTTAAATTTTTCCACATTGAGCTGTTGTACATTTTTCTCTTCTCTAGGTGCCACATTATCAGAGCTCAGTATCATTGGTTGGGTCAGAGATGCAGGGTTCCCCATCAGCCTCTTCATCTCAAGGAAATACTAAAGTATCTGATTGGCTCAAACAGACACAGGAAGCTGACGTGTGCCAGCAAGGTATGCACCTTCTAATACCTTTTAATTCAACCGGAGTATATGGGGCCAGTGTGGGACATGCCTACTAATTCTTCAGTATGGTCTATGCAAATAATTTAGTAAACAAAAATATTAAAATCAAAACTTAATCAGGTTAAAAGTTAATCAGGTTTTTCCAAATGTTTGACCACTAGTGTGCACACATTTTTAAATATCACAGTTTCTGGTATACACTGGTGATAACGGAGTCGTCAATACCAATAAACATTCTGGTAGCAGGAAGGTTGTGAGAAACTTCAGTGTTTGCAGATATCATAAACCTGCTGTTGATTTTTTATATATATATATATATATATATATATAAAATATACTTTTTGTAGCAAATTTGACCAAGTGCAAAGTAGCATCAAATGTTATTCAATGTAATATTATTTGGACAATTTCTAAAAACAAAAAACAGCAACACCAAAAGAACACAATTCATTTCATATAAAAAGACTATTTTTGAATGTGCTTAACTTCCTCTAACATTCAGCCTCTCATGCACAGAACTTGCCAGGTGTCAGCTGGATTTAGCTGAGCTCTCGAGTTTAATCCAGAAACTTCACTGGCATGAGGGTGGTCTTCCCATCACAAACACGGACCTTGAACATCGAATCAGCATGCAGGTGAGTCTGCTGTTGTAAATCTGACACAGAATGGACAGGACATCTGTTGTCTTTGTGCAGCATGCAGCAGAACACAAAGCAAATGTGAGAAGTACAAACTGTGATTATTTTATGACAGTAGCAGTGTTAAATAACAAAGAGGTAAACATGGTGCTTATTTTTCAGAATCTTAGTCTTGAGAAACCCAAAAAGAAGTCTGGAAAGATCTGGGGTCACTCACGAACGCTGTCAAGAGTCGAATCGCTTGGCTTTGTAAGTTCATAATGGAATTCCTTGTTTGAGATTTATACATTTTTCTAGTGCTGGGCAATGATTAATCGGGATTAATCGCATCCAAAATATATATATATTTTTTGTGTACTTAATGTGTGTTTACTGTGTATATTTATTATGTATATATAAATGCACATATGCATGTGTATATATTTAAGAAAAAATGTTTTCATACTAAATATTTATATGTAATATAAATTATATGAGTATAAATATATACATGTAAATATTTTTAAAATATATACTGTATGTGTGTCTCTTTATATATACATTAAATATACACAGCACACACACATTATAATTTATTTATATTATATAATATAAACACAAACTTTTATTTTGGATGTGATTAATCATTGCCCAGCACTAATTTTAAATATAGTGGGTCTCATTCCCTAATTGATGAATGTAGGCATCTGGGCTTAACAGTGCAAGCATTCGTTTGTGACTAAAATAGATGTGTGCAAACTGAAAAATGTATTTAGGAGCATGTGTGCTAATTAAAGTCTGTGTTTAATGAAATTTAAGGTTATATGTCTTAAATATCTTAAAACATTTGTTATACAGTTAATCATTTTTAAGAGGTCTTAAATTTGGGGGTGGGGAAAAACAGGAAACAGCCTAGTGTTATTAAACTTCAAAAGGCTATGATTTCATTAAATGTCACTGCACATTTCAAAATGAAAAGGCAGAGCTGTTAAAAGCATTTGTTAAATACAGTTTTATTTATCATTTTCTTTTGTTTTCTTTTGTTGAACCACACTCCAGTGGTTTGAGTCTTACCTCTCAGATAGGTTCTTCAAGATATCTTGGAGAGGTGAGGTGTCCAAGTCACAACATCTAACTACTGGGGTGCCTCAGGGCTCAGTTCTTGGACCACTTCTCTTCTCTGTCTACATGTCATCACTAGGTTCTGTCATTCAGAAACATGGCTTTTCATATCACTGCTATGCTGATGACACTCAGCTCTACCTTTCATTCCATCCTGATGATCCGACAATTGCTGCTTGCATCTCAGCTTGTCTAACAGACATTTCTTGCTGGATGACGGACCATCACCTTCAACTTAACCTTGCCAAAAGAGAACTGCTTGTGGTTCCATCAAACCCATCATTTCATCACAATTTCACCATCCAGTTAGGCATTGCTACGTGTACTGCATTAAGCTGAGACTAGTTATAGCACTTGCATATCATTGCTCTTTTGTTGACTTTGATTGCTTCCATTGTCCTCATTTGTAAGTCGCTTTGGATAAAAGCGTCTGCTAAATGTAAATGTAATGTCTACTGTGATGGCATATAATCAACAGCGTAACAGAATGTGCAAATGCCATTTAAAATGCCAATTTCCTCCATTTCCGCACTTTTTTTTTTTTTTGTCTAAAAAGGCTAGTAGCATTGTAAACTGAGAGACATGATCATTTGATAAAATAAAGTGAAGCAAGCATGCCGTATTTGGGATCATTTTACGTGAAATGGCGATACTAAGTTTGTTTCATATTCGGTAGTGAATGTTGATACATTGTTCAACTTAAGACCATGTTGGAATGGTTAACGCTTGCTATATCTGTTCTCGTGGCCGGTGTGGAAAATGTGATATTTCGGCTTTCTAGTGCAGAAAAGGCAGACATTTTCCATGCTGACCGTATTTCCACTACAGCAAAGAAATTGTCATAATTTAATGTCAAAATGTTTCCGTAACATTTCAAATCATGAATTTAAAAAAAAACTGACACTGTTACACATTGTCACACAAATTGTGACTTAAGTTCAAGTCACACTAAGCTGCTTTTTCCTTCAGGCATTTGAAAAATGATGTATGAAAATTAGGATTCAAGGGTTAGTCTTGAATGCAGTGCTGTGTGAAAGTGAAAAAATAATAAGACAATCTAAACTGTATTGTTTTGCATAATAATCTAACATTTTACTATAATATGTCTGTGGAAGCTGTGAAGAGTTAATGCATCAGATATTCAGCCCCTCCAATTAAGCATCCAAACAACATCGCAATAATACTAGAAAGAATGATAATAGTGCCTTACAGTACAACAACACCAGTGACATTAAGATGATGTGACGGCACTACACGGTGTAAGAGATTTCAGCACAACCTCTCCTGTACAGCCTTTTGTTGCTCTATGTAAATGTATCCTCAAGTTCTATAAAGGTGTGCACACACAGCAAGATCTTCAAGTTAACTGGCTGAAGTGTAATTAGCACTTTTTTTATTTTTTATTTTTTCAATAGACCACACGATTTAGTTGAGTCATTTTTATTCGAATAGCACTCACGATCCTTGTTTCAATGTGGCCTAAATGTAAAAGTGTGTGAAATCCTCCTGTAGCAAGGTTTCTTCAGCCATAACCTGTGCAAAACTCTGCATTTTTATTAGTCTGAATAAGAGTTAATGTAGGATTATTTTCTAATGGTAATATGTAACATTTTGGTTTAATGCCTTCTTTGATTCCTAGGCCACCAGGAGTGTTTTTTTCCCCCTTAAGTGGTCTTTTTTTTTTTTTTCATATGAAAACATTTTATGTCCAAATACATATGTACGCAGGGTTAGTGAATGAAGCACACAATTGGGTTGAATGTCTTTCCCTCTTAATTTCTGAACTACTGCTTCTGTTTCCTGTTGTAATAATTCTACTTCCATCTCTGACTTTTGGAGCAGTTTTCTTCGAGCCACTTGGGCACATCAACTGGCTTGGCTGCTTCCCTTCAGTCCATCCCAGATTACGTTTACTCCCAGCTGTCCACGCCTGCGGTCTCCTCACCAGAAGGAAAGCAACTGCAGTTAGACATCTGTGCCTTGTGTGACAAAGGTACATGATCTCATTCATTCTGTTTCTACAATTTTAAATGCTGCTGTAAATTAGTATAGAACAAATTCTGTATGTGTCCAAGAAGAGACATACAGACTATTCATACCTGTATGGTGGGGGGCTGAAACCTTCACGAATAAGAGGAAGAATCCTGAACTGGCTCTTATGCAGTGGTCTGAAAAAATGACTTGGGATGAAAAGAGTACTGAAAATTTACACACTGGAAGGTTTAAAAAAAAAAAAAAATTTTCCCCAAAAATCCCAAAGAGGCGATGCTCAAGAAGTAGGTGTTGATCTGTGCAGGGCTTGCACATCTTGTGCTGAGATATTCATCCTGATTAGATTACGTAATAAAGAGCAGGAAGTACAAAATGAGTCGTTTGGCAGCTTGGTTTCAGTAAAAGCTGTTTTTGCACTTACAAGGAAGTTTTGAGTTCTGAAACTTGGCATGAGACTTGATGACTCTTCTCCCACTATATCTAGAAAATAAAAATAAATAAATAAATAAATTGAAGCGATATCTGGTATGCATTGTGGGGAAAAACATACGGAGTACAACAGTGTACTACGTTTACAATATGGAGCACTCAACTCTCCATAGGTTATAATGTTTTGGTTTACTGAGCTATAATTTTTTTTTTTTCATCCCCTAACCCCACCCCTAAACATAGCCCTCACAGAAAACTTCTGGCAATTATTATTATTATTTTTTTAATAACACTGCTTAGTATGTTTAAGCCATTTTGTTTACGAGGGCATAGGGAGTGTCCTTGTAAACCATGTTATTGCTGTAATAGCCCTGTTGTTATACAAATTTGTGTCCTCATAAACTGTCTATTTAAAAAGAAAAGTAAAAACATACTGGAGTAAAAATAAGCTAACTTTACAACTTAGTTTACAACTTTAAATTGTATTAAAGTAGCCTAGCGAAAAAAGAAGAAAAAACGGCAGAGGAGATCGTTTCATCCTATTGACAATTGAAATTGCATAAATATAAACTGATTCAAGGTTGTTGTTTTTTTCTTTTCGGAATGACATTCCAAGGTTTGGTTAATGGGGAAAAAACAAAACATAAGCACAGTGGCCTGTTGCATGAAGCTAGCTGAACAAACTCAGAGTTTCAGAGTAGGTTTACAGTTGACCAAACCAAACAAGCCCAGCCTGGTTTAGATCAGGTTCAGTGGACTCACAAAGCTCGATATAAACCTTCTGTCAACTCCACAGCCGCAGTTTGATTCACTTCTCGCGAGAGTTGTTGCAATTCACTTCTTTACTGAAGATTAAGAGATGTTATTAAAAATGTAATTTTTTTTAAAAGCTTTTACAAGGCAGGAATAACTACTGCAGCAAAAGTTTGAGAAGGCAGCAGAAAGAAAATATCTGGCTATGCAATTGAATCCTATAATAAAACAACAAACAAAAAGTTAGTGTATAGGTTTTGGTTTATGCAAATTATTTGACAAATTGCTAGACAAAAAAGCCATAAATCTTAAGGAGTTGTTCCAAATTTGAGGTTGAAAAATGAGCTTTTAGTTTTTGTTTGGTTGCAGTACCAAACTTTACCCATTAGATGCCAGCAAAGCTGGTATACTCAGCGGTGGGGATTTGATATTCGCAATGCAGTATGATTTCTCTCTCTCAAACATTACAGGTGCGTACACATGCAATTATTTTAGTAGACGCATACAAACAACACTCTGACATCCATACCAACACACCTACGCGATTATAGCTGCATTATTTATCCAGCTGCCTCTAATGCAGCGAAAGCAGAACATATGAAAAAAGTGTATTTGTTTTATAGGCCAGACCTGAGAAAATGGCACCACCTGGAACAAGAAAAAAAAAAAAAAGATAAATTTGAAGCCTTGCCAACAGAATGAATGCCCTTTAACAAAGACCGCATAATTTTATAGTTAAATGGCCCTGGGATTAAACATTGTAGTTTTAATGGTTTCAATGGGGATATTTTTCCTTGAAGGGTTGGTTCACCCAAAAATTAAAATTCTGTCATTAATTACAGTTAATCAGCCCCGTTTATGTTCAGTAGACAGCACGCGCATGCTGAACGTAAACAACGCTGATTTACGTTGATTACGTTCTGTGGGTACTCTCCAAAATGGTGGAAGACGGTAACTCGGGGAGAAGAATTGCTGAATAAATTGTTATTGTTTTCTTTGCACACAAAGTATTCTCGTAGCCTTGTAAAATTACGGTCGAACCCCTGATGTCACATGGACTATTTTACCGATGTCCTTACTACGTTTCTGTGCGTTGATCGTGGTAATATCATTGCTGTCTATGGAGGATCAGAGAGCTCTCAGACTCCATCAAAAATATCTTAATTTATGTTCCGAAGATGAACGAAGGTTTTATGGGTTTGGAACGACATGTGGGTGAGTAATTAATGACAGAATTTTAATTTTTGGGTGAACTATCCCTTCAAGGTCGTGAGTGTAATAAATCTCAATAGGTACACAAAATGGTTAACGGAAATGGAAAAAAAGGACAATTCTAATAAAAATATACATTTTTTGCCAAAATTGAGTGTTGGCATTACCGTATTGGCCCGAATATAAGACGACCCTGATTATAAGACGACCCCCCTTTTTCCAGATGTACCTTTTGGAAAAAGGCTTTTTAAAAAACAAATCTTGTTTTTTCTCAGTAAAACACATTTTGTCTTCAATTAAAAATTAGAAATCTGAATTAGGACATCAAATTAAAATCTGAATTAGGACATTTAGGCTATCCATCTAATAGTAGCCTACCAAAATCTTATTAACAGTAGAAGTTAAATCTTACTGTAGTCTTCAAATCTGGGTACTGTCTTACGTTTTAAAATCACAAAGGGAGTTGTAGACCCTGAATATAAGACGACCGCGTTTTTTCAGATGTATTTCCAAGAAAAAAACATCGTCTTATATTCGGGTCAATATGGTATTACAGGAAAACTAATTAATAATAATAATAAACAATATTAAGTTATCAAGATGGTTGCGAAAGGTAGTCAGTGGAAGTACAGTGATGTGTCAGAACTCATAAGTATTACAGTGACAACTCCATACAAGCAAAACATGAGGGCTCATATCATAAGTTTTAAGACTCTTGTCACATCCTTGTCTTTATTTTTCATATTGCCTGTGCGTAATTTTGCTGGCTTCTGCAGCAGATCACACCGTAAATAAAAGCACAATCGCTTACTCTATGTCAGGGTTCCTCAAATCTTGCCCTGGAGGGCCAATGCGCTGCAGAGTTTAGCTCCAACCCTGATCAAACTCACCTACCTGTGATTTTCTAATGATCCTGAAGACATTGATTAGCATGCTCGGGTGTGTTTGATTAGGGTTAGAGCTAAACTCTGCAGGAAAGTGGATCTTGTGGGCCAGATTTGAGATCCACAATTTTCCTGCAGAATTGGGCTACTTTATCCACTGTTGCCAGGGGTTGTTTTTCAACTCTGTGCGTTGAAGCGACCCCACTAATGCGATATTTGAGCACTGAGGCTCGCAGTATGAACGTAGTCAAAGAGAACCCAATCAAACAAATGAGACTAAAATATATACTATGTCATTTCATTTATTCAGAACAATTGTTCAAACTTTTTATTAAAACAAATATTATTACAACAAGAAAATAGATTACAAATTTTTAACATTTAACATAAATTTTTTTTTTTTACATTTTAAGGCCAAACCCAAACATAATGCATAACCAATAAAAAAAAGAGAAAGAAAGAAAGAAAGAATTAGAACGGAAGAAAAATAAATAAATAAATAAAATAACTACAAAACTATCATAAAATAAAGAACTAATTATAGAAAATAGTAGTCATTGTAATACAAATAGATAAAATACAATATATACTTAATACAATATATATAAA